CCTGTTATCGCTCGGGTGGACTCGTTCAAACCGTTTGCAGTCCACAAATGAAACAAATGTAACTTCGGAGAAAGATTAACATCACATCAGCATTAATCAGCACTATTTGTTGAATGTTTTGTGTACAATAACAAAACCAACATATTTACATACATACATAAATACATTTATATATTATACATGTATGTAAGTACGTTTTCATAATATAAGCTTTTCTCTAATACGTACTATTGTAGCATTGCTCTACAAGTAAGTTTGTATTATTTACATGCTAAATTAAAGCAGAAACTTCAACGATAACAAACAAAACTGAAAAATTTCCTGTATTTGCATAAGTATTTATAGGGGAGAAAAACATATGTTTTTAATTGCTTTGGAATTTTGATTTTTCAATAAAACTATGCAAATGTGTGAATTCTGTACAACTCAACGCGTTATTTCATTATCTGCTTAACTGTCTGTTTGTTTGCTTGCAACTGAGTGATTTGATTTCCAAGGGAGTTTTTATACGGAAAGTTGCAACAACGATGATGGCAGTAGACGCACTCACATAACTGGCGCTAGTTTTAGTAGCTAATACTGTCACCGCATTATTTGTTTTTGTTACTGCTGATGTTTTCATAACTCAAAAAAATATTATTAACGAATCAGCAAATAATAAACGAGATTTAATTAAAATGAAAACAATTACAACAACTACACGAACATAAACAAGTAGTGTAAGGAGTGGAGACAAAGCATTTTAAATCGAATAATAAATTTATGTACATACACACATATACTTGCATGCATACATACGTACATTTGCAATTGTATGCATGTAAGCGTATGCACTTGATTGTGTGCTTAAAATTCAAAATAAACAAAAAAAAACAAGCACAACAGAACTTTGCAAACTAATGAAAGCTCGATTGATACGACTCATATGCAATTGCACACAGTTATGCGTATGTATATGTATACACATACATATGTATGTATACATGCACTCACGCATGCATATGCATTTGCACTTGCATTTTTATTTACATTTACTTTTTTTACGCTGAAAAGCATGTAAAAGCCATAACTCATGCAAGTGGACGCCTTATATGTGCGCCTTTTGTGCCTTTTGTGCCTTTTTTCCATATTTTTTATAGTTTAAATAAATATGCAACAACACATGTACGGTACAGGTATACAACAAAATAAATAATTAAGTAACGCTTCAATTATCGCTACACATTGTACGCTAAATCAACTTATAGTGTGAATTTTGTGTTTTAATTGCAAAATATAGCAATAATAAACTCTCAAGTGTAAGTTCTATTTGATAAATAGAAGAACTGAAAAATAAAAGAAAATAAAAGGCATAATTTTATACAAATACAACTATAAAAAACACAAGGAAAACGTTTGCACCGAAGCTAGAATACCCTTCAAAAATACAAAAGTTAACATACAAGATTTTATTTTGTATTTTTTGTATTTGTATGGCAACAAGATGCTATGGTAGTTCCATCTAAACTATATTTGCGAAACTTCGTGAACATATCTCATCGAATAAAGTTTCCCACACAATCACTTGATTCCGATCGTTGAGTTTGTATATATGCTCTAGTAGTCGGATATACTCAATATATTTGGATATGATGCATTAGCTTGGGTAATAAACTATATCATTATTTTTAAGGTTAAATTTGTATGGCTGCTCTAGTGAATATCGACAAATGAGCAACTTCTTGAAGTGAAAAGGACTTGGCAAAATTTCTGATCAATACCTCAAACACTGAGGGACATGGTTAACGTATATGCAAACAGTTGGACAGACAGACATGACTAATTCCACCCAGCTCGCCATGGATTTATTATATAACTTATAGGATCWCCTACGTTAGCTTTTAGGTGTTATGAAATTTCTGACAAACTTAATATGCCTCGTTAAGGGTATAAATAAATAAAACAAATGGCATAATTTTAAACGAACGCAACTATACAAAGATGGAAAAATAAAACAGAAAAAACAAAATAAAAATAAAATAAAATAAAAAACAGTTATCTGCACATATCGTGTAGCTCATTGCACTCAGCTGATTGTTGAACCATTAGCACAATAATGAATATAGTTTTTATAGCCATTTGCCTTATGTGCACTATTTTATCGACAAGTAAAGGCCTGTAGCATGATAGAGTGCCCTAAGGCAACTTGTGTGACGTGCACGAAAATGCTAATGTATCGTATGTAATTTAGATAAACATGAGACGCTTTTCCAAAATCTCCACGCAATGCAAAAGGGGAGAAATGAATAAATACACTTTTCTTACAATCTTTCCTGTAATTAGTGGTGGAACGAACGTTTTGCAATAATATATGCAATGTACTGGCGCTTCATATAATGAATATGTATATACATGTGTATAAATGTTTTCAGGTTTTATTCTGTTATTATTAGCTGCTTATTGCATGCGTGCACAAATATAAGCTGGCAACAGATTTGGACTTTTCCTTATTTATCTCTGTAAAGTTGTAAGTTATCTGAAGTCATGCATTAACGATACGATTGTTTGTGAGCAGGAATTATTTACAGATGTGCTCAGAATAAAAATTACTTCAACAAGCATATATCATAAACTAAATTGTTTTCATTGTTGATTGTTTAAGTAAAAGTTAAATTGTTTATAAGCTCTCTCAGATTTTCAGACTTATTTGATCTTTATGGATGCGTAAAGCTTAAACACATTTGAAAGGCTATAAATTTAAGCACCCCGCACTTTTCATAAAAATTCGCTAGCGGTTTGAAATAACACTGGCGTTAATGTTTAATAATTATATGTCATTCAATGAAAAATCTCGAAAATATTTTCTACGTGGAAAATTAATCTGATAAATAAAAAATTGTGATTCCAACATTTGCTTACTCTCTCGCTTATTACTGTTACTTTTATGTCCGCTAAGTTGATGCAACAGTGGCGTTGATAAAGTTGTCTGTTGCGGCACCAATGCCATTGGCAAGGTATCGTCATGCTTTGAAATGTTGTTAGCCATATCCATTCGACCAGCTGTTGTCGATATTGTTGCGGATGATGGCACTGTAGCCACTAACGTGTTCTCTTGTTGGCGTACGGTTCCTTTACGAACACTTCCATTATTTACATTACCATAAGGAGACATCCACTTGTTTGCTGAGGTGTCCACAATTGGCGAATTTCTTGTGGTATTAAACACTATTTCGATGGGTGTGGCTAAAAGGAAGGCTTTTGTGAATTTTAATGTTGATAGGAACAATTCTGTACCTACCATCTGTTGGTCTCATTGGGAGCAATATCAACATAACTAATGAAACCGTTATAAGAGATAGTGACCACAAAATTGGTGGCTTTTTTCGTTGCTGTGCTGATGGTGTCGATGCTAAAACCAAAGAGGCTAGTGTCAATTGAATTTGGTGGCTTCGTCGACGCAATTCCGACATTTTATGTGTATATTTGTTCCTTTTTTGTCCGTAATTGTTTAAAATAATTATTTGTTAAATCCTTAACAATTATTTAACAGCGTGTTGTTGTTGCACAATTAACTTCGCACAATGAATTTTGTAGTCTCGCCTAATTTATAATAGACCGATATCGTAGCACTTGTTTCTTACAATGGTTGATGGTACAACTAAAGGTGTTTATGGATTTGGTACTGCTTTTAAAGTACTGCTGTTGACATGTGTTAACAATGAGCAGTTGGAGTAAGCAGCGCTCCACCAAAAAGGGAGGCGGCTCAAAAAGTGGCAACGAGTAGGTTAATTGCATTTAGACTGTTTCAAGTTATTCACAAATTTTGCATTTCTCGCACACTAATTTTCATTAATAAATCAACAACTGAATACAGATGCAATGAATGGAGGTGAAAAATTTATTACTCGTGTACTCCGATTCCTTACACTTTGACCGATTATTATTATTGCAATATTTTTTGATTCTCCAATGCTTTATCATACTTTATACTTTTCACATTCACAGCAAAAACGATTGCTGCCTGCCTTCCACTTCTAATTGGAAAAAATTTGGTCGCCACTGCGCCAATTATGTCTTGCAATAAATTTGTCACGTGATTTTCACTTATTGAATATAATTAAAACATTCAACATCGACTGCGGAGGCATTCTGTAATTTCCAATAAGAAATTTGTATAAATTTTTAGCATGTTTACGCGAAATTTACGGAAACCGTTTGCGCGAAAATCGCCAAACGAAGGAATCACTACCGCAGCCGAAACAAACTCGAGATATGAATGACATTGCCACACTAAAATTTATGGTGGCAATATGTTACATTTAAATAGAAAATCTATATTTAAGCGTGTATTATACGTACTAGCATAATTTATCGTTTTTGATTTGATAACAATGTATTTTACAAAAAGATTATTAATTATGAAGAGTAACAATAATAAAGACTGTTACATTATTTTAATTAATATTATTAGCTGGCAACATTTAAAAAAGAAGTGACGTTTTCTTTTGTGTTCACTCATCATGTGCTGCCACATCGTAATGTTACAAATTTTTTGTTATCATAAATTATTTCACAAAATACTATTTATAAAATTATGAAAACGAAAAATTATAAAACTTCACTATGATCTTATTAAAATACATCGTAACTTTTAATAAAGCTTTTTTATGTAACTTACTAGAAGATGCTTGTGCAACGATGTATTGGTGTACAAGGGTTAAAATTGACTCTGAACGGAAGTAGTACATAGAGTTAACCGTACTTTTTTGGTTCGTGTACAAATCTATATTTATATAAATTTAAACTGTGTTCGAAGTACTGGTAAATTGTCTCAGAACATTACATTAACAAGGTAAATGTAAGCTTTAAATATTTTCGTCGCGACATGATAATGCGGTGAAGAACCGGATGAATGCCAATAGTAGTAATGTTAGCTTCTTGTTAACTTAAGAAAATTATTTAAATTGTATTATTTCTTAATTTAGAGCAACGAGCGTAGATAAAGGTAATGTTGGCTTAAATTGCTCTAACATTTTCCTGCAGTTTATTCAATCAGTGTTATCACTTTACTTTTCTTTTTTCAACGTGTTCCTTAAATATGAATTCGATGTTTTTTATGTATACAAATTTGTTTCCAAGAGCTAAGAAGATATTACCAATTTAATAAACGTAATTCAACAAATTTATCATTTTATTTTAAACATACTAAAGCACATAGTGTATACCGATAACACTTCGGTACCATAAAGTGTCCAGTTAAGAATCCCCCGCCCCGTAAAGTTGCAAAAGTGTGATTTATTGCCAAAGCAAGCTCAGTAGCGATAGTGGTGGCATGCCGGGTTCAGCGCCTTTACGGAAACCTAAACAGAAACATCAAAAAATTAGATTCATTGATATTTGTGCTAACCAAAAATTAGACCTTACCTAAGTAAATAACCATCGGAATGAATCCCCAGTGGAACGTGGTCTTTGCGACGTCATAAACCACTTCTAAACGTTCCTTTACACCAGGTGATAAAGCCATTTTGCTCTGTTTAAGTTAAATGCAGCCAAAAATTTGTGAATTCTGAATACGATCAATAATTTATGTGCCGAAGTAAATTTTACACAACACGAGTTTTAAATAAATTTGACGGCCATATAACAGCTGATATATGGGCAAAGTTGTATGCGATTAGGATTGGTGATGCCAATTAATAGAATCTAGTTACATATTACTTATGTGAAAAACTGTGAAAAACTATGAAAAACTTATGTTAAATACTATGAAGACACTAAAATTATTGTTATTTGAACAACATTTTTATATTTGAAAGTAAAGCTGGTAAAGATTAATAATAGACATAAAATATAGTTCAAATCCAAATAGGTTTGGATTCATTTCGAAATGTATAATTAAAAATATTTTTAAATTAGAAGGTAGTTTAGTAGTATATTTTTATTTCATACAGCAACACTGGCTTGAGCATTTTCTTTTCTCTAGAAGATTTTCTGTGAGTTGCACGCGAATAAATTTTGCTGAACTCTACAATTGTCTTTTGCACTTTTAATTTCAAATATAATTTGTGGAAGCATAGCGCCAGTTGCAGTAGAGAAACGCATCCGAGCAATAGAATAACAAAAATATTATCAAAGTAAGTGCAATATCAAAATTAGTTTTATATGTGAATGGACATTGTAGGCTGTCACACACTCGTTCAAAGCCCACCTGCTCGGTAGTCATTTCTAAAAATTTTCTTGTTATGTAAGTGATATTATGAAGAAAATAATCATCCAAGAACAAATGGAGCATTTGTAGGCTATTAAATCAATTTTATGTGTGAAGTCTGCGGTATATTGAATATGAATCATTCTGGTGCCGCATTGCACGCAGACTTATTGATTGAGTGACAAACGTTCACGCGGTCATTTTTTTTTTTTTGAGCAAAGGGTCAATCAGGACATTGCTTTTTTAATCGATTGATGTTTTGTTGTATGAAGTAGTAACTTATCTGTATGTTTTATTTGTATTCCAGATATTTTATTTAATTTTGCCAATCCGTGCGGAGTAACAGTATTTGACATAAATTTGTGAAAAACATGAGAACTTCAAGTGTGGTACAATATGCGCTTCGTATGAGTTTTGGACAGGTGAGTGTGTTTATAAAATTAAATAATGGGTTTAGTGATGAGGGACTGCGAGCACAAATTGACATAGGCGGTAAACATTTCAAGTGTGGTCGCATTACCCTCTTATAGAAATATTTATACGATTAAATCCATTACTTGTTTAATTTTAGTTAGCAAGTTATAAGTGTGTTATCTATGGACATATCAAAATAATAATTCAAACAGTTTACTAATAGCAGGTTGAATTGTGCTCGACTCCCTTCCCATCAAATACATTTAAAACACTATCATAACAAACCACATTTCTCATTAAGGTTTGAAAACAACCCAAATGTCGATAATCAACGGGAACATACATGCATACTCATGGAACAGAGCACATTTCAACCTGGAGATATCTGTCTGGAATGTCAGCAGAATGGGAAAAGCCACAAGTTGCGAACATTTTATATTGACATAGATGAACAAATAGTTAAATGTGAAAGTTCATCTTGCATATATCCCTATGAAAACGATTTTACCGATTCAGAAGATGAAAATATTGCTAAAGCAAATCAAAGTTGTTCCCCCAAACCAAATTCTCTACCCAATCTTGATGTAATTTCTTTTGCTAATAATGAATGCGACGATGCAGACAGTGTACGTTTTGTGGAAGCATTGCTTAACAACACTAACGAAATTGAGAAAACCAGCGTGGTAATGAACACCAAGCAGGAGTTATGTCAAGCTGAAAAGTTAAATCAAAATATCGGATTAGAGAACGAAGGAGAAAATACTACAACATCTGCCTCATTGCATATGTCTTTGCAATCAAATGATACCGATCATACAGAAGATGTTGCTTTTATTGACGCTTTATTTAGCAACTGTGAAGCTGAAATAACTCAAATGTGCGAATCAAAATCCTTAGAGTTTATACCAACTCGTCCGGCACCGTCTCCAACATTTGATATGCCTATAATAAGTTTTGACTTCAGCAATAATCTTCCTCTTGCAACAAAGCAAGAACTCCTTCTTAAAGAAGATACTAAACAACAAATCGATATTCAATGCATACAGACTGTTAAAGCGGGACTTGCAAGTACTACCAATGCAGATAATACGACGGATATGCCAAAGGTCTCCATAAAATCTCTAGAATTAATTAAAACCGAGTATATTAAGGAGGAACCAGTTGTGCAGACGGCGGCAACCAAACAGCCATCAGAGCAAACAGATACGGCTATCTCGAATAACGATACTAAAGTGCGCATTTCTCGTTACTTTGATACTTTGCGCGTAAAACAGGAAATGCTTCCAAAGACATTTACTAAATGTAAGAAACGCACAAATAAACAACAACAGCAACCAGCAAAATCGGAGAACGCAGCTGGGAGCAGTTTGGTAAATGTGCTAGCGGTGCTGAGGAATAAAACACAGAAATGAACAGACGACGAATTGGTGACAGCCTCTGGAACTAGCTTTGTGTCGCTTTATCGATATGTTTGAGTATTTATTACATTCTGCTGGGTTTTTAGTCCAGTACTGCCTTTTTTGTAAGTCATGTGTGACATAAGCACGATTTACGTTTTTGAAAAAGCTCAGTACCTACTTATGTGAAATATCTGATAAAAGTGATAAATGTTAACTGTTAAATAATAGTAATTAACTGGCAAGTAATGCTTAAGTTTAGTTTCATAAGCTCTTCATTATTTCATAAGATTTTAATTCATTCTAAAGAATAAAATATATGAACTTTTCTACTTCATATAGGCATTTAATTTCATGGCAAAGCCTGACTGCACGCTTCCGTTGCATGATCTCTTAAGAATTGCTTTTTTTTTTTAATAATGATAATGAACAAGGAGAATAAGAAATGAAAGAGACTCGCTCAGACGTAGCGCGATGAATTTAGCGTTTTATTTGTTTTCGTTAATCACAAAGCATCGCCATCGCACTTCATCTGTGCGCAAAATCTGAGGTTGTGTGTACATGCATATTTACATACAAACAAACATACATATGGGTGTTTATCCTCATTGACGCACTTTACATTTAAAATATGTCATCGTGTCAATGTAATAAACGCCGGATAAGCAAATACAATTATTGTATTTATTTAAATGTTTAAACTTTTCAAACAGAGCATTTTAACGTATTTTCCAAAACAAATGTCCTTGAACTGTTTCAGTAAAAAATTCCTTCGTATTGCAAGTCAATTTTTTATTTTTTAAATATTCTTTAGCGGTCTAAATTTCTTAAATTTTATTAATTGACATTTAAAATTGCTTTTAAATTTTTTAATTAAAATTTAAAAAAATATTTGGAACATTCTACAACTTTATTAACAAATTGCGATTAATTTTTATTTACGCAATAGATTACTTTGTAATACGATTATGTAGTTGGAAACTGCGAAATATTGGAATTCACGCTGTTATCAGCTCATGTGATTGATGTCAGTCAAAGTCGGCACCTTATGTACGTCACAAGCTTAAGTGTGCTTTTTTGCACTGTGACGCGTCGTTAATTCACCCATATTTTTAACAAAAATTTACTTTGCTTTTATTTTGTTTATTCTCTCACACCTTTCTTATTAGCATGATAAAGATTTATTTTGGGCCACAGTGGCATATTTTACAGAAAAAATTCTGAATTATTCAAATTTATTTATAGCTTCTCAAAGAAATATGATTTATTATGGGAAATTAAATTTATTGACATAAATAATTTGCTCGTATCATCATTCTAATATGTACATATGTATGTATGTATGTGTAATAAACCTAATAATTCAATATGAAAATCTGGATATTCTTTAGAAGCGACCGACATTGTTGCTACGAGTTTATTTTAGAATTGCTTATGAATGGGCTAAGTGAAGTTCATAGGTTATCGTAAACTACGAGGTTCCAAAAATCAGTAAAACCGTTGGTACACAAAAACTTCAGTTTGGTTTGAATAAACGAATCACCGTCTATAGTCTTGCCTTTGCATTTTAGCTAAACATTTGTCTGACTCCTAGCGGCATAATTAGAGATGAATACCATTTTTCAAGTCAAGGTGACATATGCCGACATTTGTTCGTTTCTCAAGCGTTTACAAAATGCGCATTTTCGTTATGGTATTTGCATTTGGATTTGCTATAAATAGAATGCATTATGAACGATAAGAAACGATTTAAATATAAATTCTCTTAGTAATTACATGTGACTAGCGTTACTTTTTCTCCAACACATCGTTATTATATCATTCATTAAAGTGCAACATATTTACTACCAAGTCATAATAATAAATTACAGCAAGTATTTATTTGCATTTTGTGTGTAGTATTATGGAGATAACGCGAAAACAAAACAACAACCTCTCGGTATCACCTTGCCAGGTAATACAAAAGAAAATAAAAATGCAAAAAACAGATAACAACGACGTCAGTGACTAAATAATATTGTAGCCACCAGTGACGAATTCCTCTTAACAGAGGTAGTAGAATTCATTATTGTCTGTTTACAAATAAATGCGTTGTGTTGTTGTTGCTGGGGGCGCTGCGTATAGATACTTATATCAGTTCATTGAACGGCGCTTGCTAAACAAATTCGCGTGTTATGATGAGGTTTTTGCCTGGTGGCGAGTTTTTGTTTTGTTTTGACTACCTTAGTAATTGTTGAATTGGTGTGCATACAAACATATTACATGCAGTAGCAAATATTTCTTTGATAAATTGAACTTGACTTGTTAAATTAAATTTCTAATTACGCGCTGCGTAAATTCTTTTACGTTCTTTTATGTTTACGTCCACCAACTTGTCTGTATGTACATATTTATGCATGTGCATACATTCATGTCGTATAATTTTTTATTCAACTATCAGTTGGCATATTGCCAATTTCAGCGGTGCTTTCATTTATTTTTATATATGCAAATTGTATTGCTAAAATTAACCCAAACACTTGTGCCGGGCGTTGCCGATCCAAGCGACCTTGTCGGCCTGTATATTTCACGCATTTTCCTCTATACGTTTACAAATGAAAGAAATGTGGAAATATAATATAATCAAAAGCGCATTTTTATATTTATGTTTTTTTTATAATAATTAATATTAAATAATTGATTATAATATTATTGTCAAGCAATCACTTGTACTAACAATTAGCGCCACACTTTCAGGTATTTAACTTGTTATCTCATTTTGGTTATCTTATCGCGTTTAACGTACTTATAGCGTTGTTATATAATAGCTCTACTTTGTATTTATACCAATCAATGATTGCCAATTTTTTTTTTATTAATCTTTGCACTTTTTTGTCCCCTTTGCAGTCTTCAGCACAGTCGTCAAGCAGTGTCTTCACCACAGCCTCTCCTGAACGCGTAGTGCCACGTTCCGCTACCATGATGGCCGTCTTTGGAATTGCAATCTCCTCATTCAGCTTGAAACAGATGTTGGCCAGCAGCGGGGCTAACAAATCTACAGATGCAGCACTAACATTGCGCAAACTTTAAATAAAAATACGCATAAAATGGCAAATCGTTTAAAAATCATTATCAATTTGAAGCAGAAGCAGCGGCAGAACAGGCGCGAGAGAGGAGGAAGAAATCATGTACGCAATTGACTGAAATAGGAAAGTAAACCGTAACAAAGCATAACAAAATGAACTTGAAAATCGAAAAATGTTATAAGCAATGCTAACCACATACAGGTGTGTGCGTGAAAATAGAGAACTTTCAGCTAATAAACAGAAATTGAAATGTATAAAGCACAAAACTGTTGAAAGAAATTATGTGGAGTAAGGAATACGCAGGGAAATCAACTCAAGGCCAGCCTGCAATGCAACGATTAGTAAACAGAATAAAAATGTAAAATCCAGCAAAAAAAAAGAAAAATCTAAGCAATTTGTGTTGTAATTATAAATTTTAGCGTGCAAGCGTTTAAAGTGTTGCTACACAATGCACAAATTCAAAAGCAAATTTTTGGTTGAAGAAATTTACTACTTATGGACATTGCAGTGAGACTGCAGGGGAGCGTAGTTTAACAACACGTCGATAACGTTTATATAAAGCCAACGTTACACTAATTTCCATCTTTCAAATATGCAACTATGATTGATTTTCGAATTATAGTCGTTTAGAACTCATCGTTATCATCTACATATATAAACAACGCCTACTCTTTAAGTCTTTAATTCATTTAGTTTATAGTTGTATATAATTTCGAAATAGTATTTTTGGTTAACACACTGTTCATACATATAACTTTATACATTTAGCTGTAAGTGACACCTTTGACGTGATTGGCAAACACAATCTAAACTTATCAACAAATAGTTTAAATACATTATATGGCACATGCAAATTTATATTGCGCTCTCCATGAATAGTTATTGCTAACCACGTTTATATTAAAAACATTTGCTTTGAAACAAAAACTTGTTGCTTGCATTCTAAAATCAATAATTTAACACCACATAATATGCTTAAAAAAGAAAACGAAGAAGAAGTAACTTGCAAGTGATCTTTTAAAATTTAGTAGAATTAACTGAATAGTTATTTGTGTCAGCTACTAATATATATTTGGAAATATTTGTTAAAATTAAATTGTGTCTGAAATCACAATCTGAATTTACTTGATTCCGAATATGTATGCTGTTGGACGCACTTTAAAATTATGTGATACATGCAATCGTCTTGCGTCACGCTTAATAAAAATAACTATTGTACGTAATAAAAATTTTAATATATGTACATTTAATATGTTTGTGTAACTTCTATATTTTGTAAATTTATTTATATTATTTCGTTAGAGTTGCACATCAACACATACGTCGTACAAACGTATGTAGATATACACGTTCAAATATATTTTTTGCGTTTTTATTTTATTAATTTTATTTTGCACTTATACAAGTGCATGTATGTGTAATGATTATAATTTCTTATAATAAATGTTTTTTAAAAAGAGAAAAAATAGCAAAAGCGACATCCATTTTACAGAATTATGCAATTGTACGCGACGTAGGGCGGGCGTATTATAATTAACACTTGCAATTAAGCTGTAGTGAAATTGATGATCATACTTAAACGAAATACATAATATACATATTTTTGTTTAAAAATATAAAAATTTAAAATCTTGTTTTATTTGAAGCCTATTTGACTTGGATTATTCAGTGACTTCTTGGCGAAATTGGAAATTTGAATTTTTCGCCACAATTCGATATAATTGGTTTTATGTTAAAACATTTACAATAGTTAACGTTAACTTTCGCATTCTCAAAAAATAAAATTTACGTTGCAAGAATTGTCACGCTTTATCCGGCCAAAGGCTGTAACTAACACTTCCAATCGGTAAGTAATAGTAACCTTCTCGTATATGAAAATAAATCCTACGTAACCGGATTATCAATTTTACCAAGAACTATAATCTCGACCGAATATCCTATAATGATTTCCCTAATGGGTGACTACCAACCACATTATTTACAAGAGCTTTTATAATTTCTAGGTGTTGTACTAATCACAAAGTTATATGCTTAGCTTGGTTACATATATCAAAGTCGTGAAATTCAAAGAGACACTCGCGGTGGATTAGCAACGCACATTTTTGAAATAAAAAATATTGATTTTTTTTAATTTAAATATCAATGCTTTAAAAATTTCCGTTTCCTTTCACATAATACAGCTGTTTTTGTTTTGATATCCAATTTCTGTTTAGCAAGTATTCGAACCTATCGTTGCTTTCTTTATAACTATTTTTCATCTACTCTCGATGACGTTTCTGATTTTCTTTGTGTTGTGGAACAAAATGAGCTCCACATTAGGGTGTGCTAAACTTAAGGGTATGTGTAATCTTTACTTAATATAACCACTATATACACTTAGGAAATAGCATTTCAAATATATTTTCTTTAAAAAATTAATTCAAAAGATGAAAAAAAAAAATGTATATCTAGATATTCGCTTACACCGCATATATCTTCAGCAGCCGTAAACAATTACAACCAAAATACGTTAGGTGGCAGCACTGATTTATTGTTCTATATAGTATTTCTGATATTCGCCGACAAGTGGAGAAAAATATCAAAAATATTGCAGAAAATCTTAAATTTCTATTGTGTAGCACAAATTTACACAAAAATCTTGAAAGTAACCCAAAAGACAAATGTTGAAATAAAAGCGTAAAACTGAGAGGCGGTGGAAATTCTTGAGTGCAGTGTAAAAAGTCTCATTTGCATAGAGCTCTAGGTATTGTTGACGACGTTTACGACATTGACGTTAGCGTTGTGACAGTGGCGTGAGCGACTGCAAAACCAGATCAACAGCGATATCGGCGACGTTGACATCACATCAGCGTTGTGCGTAAAACAAACAAAACCATGGGGATCAACGTCAGCAGACAAGCTAATCTCTCCGAGAATGAGCTATTGCAACGTTTTGTAGGACGTACACATATTCCGCCAGACGCTGAAGAGTTTTGGAATGCACTACTAAATTATCATATAACAATACCGGAAGATAGGTAAGTGGGCGAGCTATACGAAAAGCTGACGTGTGCACCCCACCCTTGTAGGCGCTAAAACTGTATTGTGTTTATTTTACAGTCAAGAACAGTTAAATTTGGATTCGCGTTTGGAGACACTTTGCCAATCGTTCATCAGTAATAATTTGAAGACTGGCAATTTGGGTTCACTGATTACTGTGTTTCTGCACAAAGCATCAGAATTACTAGCTTTATCCGACAAAGAAAGTAATGTGCACATATGGCAAACATTCAATGCACTCTTCATAATACGTTCGCTGGTTAAGTATATAATCGAGACCGGATCGGAGTTTCAGTTATTGCAACATTTTGAAGCTATACCAAGTGCTGAGTTGTTGCGTGCGGAGGAAGATGCCGTAGCAACAGGTGCGCACGGCGAGAATACCACCATAGCGGTTGAGGCAAGAGAAGAAGAAGCCACTGCTAACTTGTTGCTAAGAGCAGCGATCGTTGTTGACGGTGCAAAGTTCGAAACATTCATTGATGCGCTGGTCAATTTGATTGTGGTGATTCCAGTCAAGTAATTGTTGAGAATGCTGTGTAATGAGTTTGTGTAATTTGTTTTGAATTTCTTTCAATATTTTTGCAGGGATTTCACATATCACTTGCATTTGGAGGCGGTAAACACATTCATCACGCTGCTCTCTGTACACCTATTCACCGAGCAACCCACAGAGAAATCAATCATTTTTAGGTGAATACGCTATGCAAAAGTTTTAAAGGAATATATTTTTATATTTTTTTTGTTTTAATTTTCCAGAACTATATACAAATGCCAGCATGCAAATGTGCTCGTATCGGCACTGTTACATTTCGTGGCACGCATGGTGGAGGTGCCACACACAATGTTCGGTTCGTCAACGTCCGGTTCATTTGTCTTTGGCATTGCCGAGTCTTTGCTCTCCATTTTCACATTTCGCAAACAACAGGACGTGCTGAAAGCCACCAACGCTTCAGGTGCTGAACTTTCACAACAATTCCGTGATCATTATCCACTCGCCAATCAAAGTCTTCTACTCATACTCATCTTGACGAATCACTGTACCACTAAGGATAATCCGTTTCGTGTCAGCTTATTCGGTTGTGCCGATTCGAAAGACTCACCCAAAGATGGCGCTTCCTTTCAGATCGACTTTTCATCGGTTTACGAAACTCTTTGCCGCATTGTGACTATTGATCAGGCAACATTGTTACTTTATCTCTTGCTACATCGAAATGAACGTTTCTATCACTTTGTAATGGCACAAAATGATGTTGAGAATTTGGTTATACCGATATTGCAGACACTCTACCATGCGCCGGATAGCACTTCCCATCACATCTACATGTCGCTTATTGTTTTGCTAATACTGAGCGAGGATGACGGCTTCAACAAGAATGTGCATAATATAGTGAGTGCATACGCCACACATACGTATGTATATATTTGAATTTATTTTTACTTTTTCACCGTTAGATGCTTAAAAATATACACTGGTACACCGAACGCACCATTTCCGAAATTTCACTGGGCGGCCTTCTCATCCTGGTTGTCATACGCACTATACAGTACAATATGCTGAAGATGCGCGACAAGTATTTGCATACGAATTGTTTGGCAGCGCTRGCGAATATGTCGGGACAATTTCGTGCATTACATCCATATGTAGCGCAACGACTGATATCGCTCTTCGAGACATTAGCGCGCAAGCATACACGCCTCGATGCACAGCTAAAGGAACCGGTYAATAATGCGGTGTCCGTTAATGTGACAACAACTCCCGAAGATATGCTGCAAGATCTCACTGTGCTGGAGGAGGTGCTACGCATGGTGTTGGAGATACTCAACTCGTGTCTTTCCAATCAGCTTGTGTATTGTCCAAATCTAGTGTATACATTGCTTTACAAGCGCAGCGTGTTCGAGAGTTTTCGCAGTCATCATGCGTTTCAGGACATWATACAAAACATCGATATGGTATGCATGCGAAATTGGTGTTTGCCGCACGCGTTGGGAWAAATAAATCCAACTATTTGTAAATTYTAGGTTGTGGGCTTCTTTTCCTCACGCCTGCAGCGYGTGCAGGAGCAGCGTGGCGAATTGGGTGTCAATGAAGTGTTTGAGGTTATATCGAAGGGCGCTAGCCAGTGGTCTAGCGATCGCTTGCGTGTAAGTTAAATGCCTCACTTGCTAAATATATTTATATTTATTACATTTTTATGTGCGTTACAGAAATTTCCGGACCTGAAATTCAAATATGTTGAAGAAGATGCGCCCGAAGAGTTTTTCATTCCATACGTTTGGACCTTGGTATGCAAATACGGTTGTGTGCACTTCAGTTCAGAGAGTATTAAAGGTGTGACCACAGAAATACAGTGCTAATACGATACGACAATAGACGCAAAGCATATTTAGCAGCTACAACACACACTAAAACACATCGACTGTTGACGGGGTACTTGCAGTGTTAAGATGCAATTGCTAGCAATGCTCTTGCTGTTGCTTGTTTGACGATGAGGGCTGTTTCTATCAGCTTTGTGTAGCATAATTTAGCATAAGTCTACTACATAAATATTTGTATAACTTTCTTGTTAGCTTTTTAACTTCCCCCCAGCCCCTACAAATACACAAACATAGATTGGAACGGAAAAGTGCAGCAAGCGAAAATTACATGCTGTTTATGTAGCAAGGGAATTATAACTACTTTTAAGTAATTAAATATTTATACGTAAATGTTGCTGTTTATTTTATTGTGTTAAAGCTTTAAACAAATCCTTCTCGCCTCCGCTTATTCCTAAACAAAATGAAAATGTGAAAATTTACAATTTTGCTTTTTAGCCAACAAACTGCAATTGCTATTGTATTTGTACGAAAATTACTATTTATTGTTGCGTGTGACATTCTTAGCGCGTTACACCTGCTTGGCTGAATTCGTTTGCAAATTCTTGACACTAAATTGAAGCAAAAGTAGGCAGCAAAGTATACTAAATCAAAAAGTGTGTGTTTTCAAAGGAAATGGAAGTTTTTGAAGAAAAAATGCAAGWACGACAATGAGGAATACAATTGAACATGAAAAAAAGGGAACTGCGTACTCAGAGTTGCTGCGTGAGCAACAAATTTCACGAAATGTCAACTAAAAATGCAATAAAAAATATGTAAACAAATTAAAAATTAAAAAATAATCAAAATGATTAAAAAACAA